ATATATTACCCATAATTGTTTCTAAAATCCAGCCATGGTTTGCAGCTCCCAGCACACACAGTTAATGACTGACCTTGTTGAAATCTCCCTGGGTAAGCAAGATAGCTCTAAAAAAAGAACAGCAGGCCCTCACAATTAATTGCTAACTATTAATAAATTAGCATATTTCTCCCTCTTCTCCCAGGCATACCTATAAATAAATATAGTTGCCCAAAAGCTTTACCAGGAATGGAAATCAGAGTATTTCATGATAACAGGCACTGGAATAAGTGATATCCCTGAACTACTGAGGAAGGGAACAATCAAACCTGGAGTTCAATAAAGAGACCAAAGCAGACGCGTGATCCCCAGCTAGCCGAGTCTACAGGTACAGTGACAATGGCTAAATTGTAACGGAGCCTCACAACAATGAAGGCTTCAAACCACAAACACGTCAAAATGTCTTTACCGTGTAAAATTTGGCTTGAAGTCACAACTCACATAAGTATGTGAGGCCTGGGGGCAGGAAGAAGAGACAGATTAGGCTACAGCAAACAGAGGAGGCACATAGAGGTTCTCTGAAAAGACAGTGAGGTTTCTCACATGGGAGGTTCTAACCCATACACAGCTTCCCTCCCCCTCACGTCTTTCGAGGAATGACCTTAGCTGTGGGGTTTTCAGTAGCCACGGGCTTCTGAGATCACATAAAGTTTCTCCACATCATCAGATCACTCCGTTTCCTTCAATTTGCTGCTACACTAGTAAAATTGAATCACTTATGTGCTGGGTATTTCTTCATGTACACAGCCCTATGGAACAAAATAGGTTCTTGCTGGTTTCTGCACCCAAGAGAGCACCGAAAACTGCAAGCCCACAATCAAACAAGTACCAGCAGTGTACTACAGATGTGCTACAAATTCCATGGTCATACACACCTGTCCCATAATGACCTGAATAACTCCAGGAATCCCTCTTGAGGAGCTCTGGGGGAATTCACTCTTGCAGGCACACGGGGGAGTGCTGTGAGATACAGGTGAGGACTTTGTGCCCATAGCATCTTAGCCTGCACAGGAGTAAGGCTGCAGGTCAACTGCAACACCATCCAGATGTTAACTTATACCCCAACAAGGATCAACTCACAAAACCAACAACAAGAGGAAAAACAAAACAACAACAGCAAAAAAATCTTCTCAGTACAGTCAGGAAAACAGTACAGGCTATACTATTCAGAGAGCATAAACTCCACGTCAACCCAGCCATAGATCAAATCAACAGAGCACCCTAGTCAAAGTAGTGCCTTTTCATTGCTGTAGCCCCTAAATACTATTTGAATGTGTCACACTGTAAGAGAAATCTACAGCTCCACTGTCACTTCTTCCAGACAGAAATCAAGGGGGTGTTCATAAACATATCACATATAGTTTTTAAACACTGATGTTGTAGCTAAAAAGTTACCACATCCTTGGTCAAAGCTTGAGAAATGCTTCACCTACACAGAAAATTGCTAGTGAATAAAAGCACAACTCTTCCTCAGCAGCTTCAGTTTTACTAGACCAACTTTTATTAGCTACATAGCCTACTACTGTCAGTACAGCACACTCTGCCAGAAAAAAAAAAAAAAAAACACAACAAAAAAAACCCCTTGTTCTCAAAAAAAAGCAGCATTCTAGTCTGAATTCACAAGAGAAGACAAGCAACCACATTTTGTATCAGCTGATACGGGTAACAATAAACAGAGCACTTTATTTAAAACCTGACTACAGAAATCTAAAAATATTCATGTTCTGATTATTCATTTTTAATAGGTTCTATTTTAAATTCTAGATAAGTGCTATTTACAGTATTTACCTAGAAGTGAGCAGCTTAAAAATCATAGGACATAACTCTTCAGAATAAAAGTTACCTTTTTAAAAAAAAAGTTAGTTCAAAAGCCACTTTTTAATAATATATTAAAAAAAAAAAAAAAAAAAAAAAAGGCAAATTCACCAAGACCAAATAAGCTAATTGTCCAGCAGCAGTCACGGAGCTTAGTTTTGAACTTTGCTTTTTGAGGTTTGTTTCATGGAAAGGGGGAAGTTTCCATGCTTCTTTTGGTTTGGAAAAGTTTGGGGTTATGTTTTTGGTTTTTTGTTCTGTTTTGTTTTTTAAATCAATTTATAGATGTTTGATTGTAAAAAGAGTTGGAAGAAAGAAAAAAAAAAGGTTCCAGGAGAAATATTCTCAGTTTTACATTGAACATTAAAACGGATTAAATCAGACCACTTATTTCCGCTATTCTACATTTTTCCAAGATGTTTTTAGCGTTGTATGATAAGCATGCATCATTATCTGCAAAACGAATCTCCCCACTGAGAGCTGGCATCTCCCACCACAGTTATTTATGTCATTCTTCTAGAATACATCTCCATGGCACCACAGCACTAACTACAGGCAGCAGACATGACCAGGCAAATACTTTCTCCCAGAGCTTGACCAGTTCAGTGAAGACGATGGTATCACCCTTCCTAAATGGCACGTGTAAGAGAACAAATGGCATAAGCTCCCCTCCAATCACTTGTTTCATAAAACTAATGTTGACAATTAAATTTAATATTCCGTAAGATAAAATACAGAATATTGGTCTTTGGTCAAACATAAAATCCAGTGGTTGTGAACTACATTGTACATAACCATTTCAGATTAAAAATAAACTATGAAACATTGCACTAACAAGGCTGTTAGCTAGCTATTAAAGTGTCTATTTTAACGTGCCAAGATGAAAGAGTAACCATAAAGAAAGATTTTCCACATCTCATTTCTTTATTACAGTCTTGTCATGCAGGGAGTGACATAAAATGACGCTGTACACCAGAGGTCAAAAGCTTACCTAGAAACTGAAAAACAACAGCAGAAATAAAAGTCATCAGTAGTCTTTAATTTATTCCTTTGCATTTCAAAGGACACGTGTTTGCATTAGTCAGAAGATCCACCTCCCAACTACAGCCAGCCCTCAAATTACTCTGCATAACACTAATTGAGAGTCCAGCTAAAGAGTTACCTGTTCAAGGAACCTGCGAGTAAAATAAATTATGCAAGAAAGCAAGCCAAGCATGCTTAAGTATAATAAAGCCTTTTAAAATAATTAGTAGATTTACTCTTTAATCTGGCAAGGTAACAAACTTTCAGCGCCCAAGAGAAAAAACACAACGAGGGAAAAAAGCATTATATAAATATTCCACATGCCAAAGTAAAAAGCCTATTTCATTGGAACAATGCTCTTCTGTTTAAACCAATACTGGGGGGAGGGGGGGGGGGGGGGGGAGGGGAAGAAGGGAAAAAAAAAAAAAAAAAAACAACAACTAAAAAACACCACAAAACAAACAACCAAGAGATCTTTCTGTGGAAGTTATTTATATGTTAACGCATAACTTCACAGCACATTTGTGTGGAATCCTCTTCTCACAAAGGCTGCTTGGACGGTCCCTCACTGGCACTGGCCCCCTCATGCACATGTTCACACTCAGGAGGGCCAGGAGTATCCATCCTGCGCTCTATGAAAACACGAGCCTGCTTTCCAAATCTGCCTTCAGTCTTGAGCCGAACTCCTGCCAAGTGCTGACCACAGGCACGCAGTCTAATCAGCATTATGGTCCTGAGACAGAGAAGTAATGGCTGCTATAAGTAAACGCCGCTTCTAATCCAGGGAAACTTTCACCTCTGAAAACATTCCTGACTTCACATCAACTTCAGCTCCAGCAAAGCCTGTGAAAATACTTTATGTAACAAAAGACGATCACACTAAAACACGGTTCTACAAGAGAAGAGAAGTACTCTTCGTAAATCATAAATCCCTCACCTAACTCACAGCTATTTCCCTTTTGGTTTATCCCCTGTAGAGCGGGAACTGCGAGAGCAGTATCCCAATCGGCAATCAGAATGAATGCACAGGGTCCAACCAGAGTTGACAAAACTGAGGTTTAATGTGCCCCCAAGGTAAAACCCGAAGACACCCAGCGCTGCAGAGGTCCCCCACGGGGGGGAAGGGGGCACCTCGCAGGCGCAGCCCAGCACCCACCTTCTCCCTCCCACCCAACTCTGCTTCTCGGAGCTGGACGCGGGGAGAGGCTTCCCAAAGGCCGGCTGCACACACCAGCCCCGCTGGGGCTTTCAGGGCTCTGTGAACGCCGTGAACCAACCTCGGAGCGGAGCAGGAAGTTTTGATAAGCGGGAGAGGGAGAAAAACAAGCACACACACGAGATGTGAGGGGTGGGAGGCAGGGAAGGATGATCTTTAAGGTCCCTCTTCCAACCCAGTGGTTATTCTATGATTCTATGGATGGACGGACAGACGCACGGACGAAGGGGTCACTATTCAACTCCCCGAGCCGGAGCCCAGCGTTTTAATCCCCATCACCGTTAAGCAGGATGAAGAGTTCTTGCTTACTTGAGCTGGTTTATAAAGTTTTTGCTTAACTTACAAAGCCGAAGCTTTTTTCGACCGGTGAGCGGGCTTTGCTTGAAAAGCTGGATGCTAACTTACACGGATTAGCTACCTGTCCGAAGGAGAACAGTTGCTATCTCCGTGCAGGCGGACAGAAGAGGGGGGCCGAGACCTGGGAGACCCCACTGCCGATATACGTACACTCTCACACAGCCCGGTGCAAAGCTCACCTCCCCCGCTTCCCCACGTCCAAAAAAAAAAAAAAAAAAAAAAAAAAACCCACAAACCCTAAACCCCACCACGCGAAGTCCACACAAGTGTGCTAACAGATAAGGAGACAAGTCGGCAGGGAGCGGTAAACCGCCAGCTCCCCAGGGGCGCGTCGGGGGAGTCCCGGGGCTCAGCCGGCGGGGCGGCCACGGCGCCGGGGCTGGGGCTGGCCGAGGCCCCGCTGGCCCCGCCGGCCATGCGGCCGCCCCGCCGAGGAGCCGGGCTCCGGGGAGAGAAGCCGTGACGGCCGGCGGTACCCCGCCGGGCGGTGGGTCACCCCCGAGCCCGACACCGGGAAGTTCCCGCGGCGCAAACCCGGCCGCCCTCTTACCCTTAGTCCAATCCACCACTTGCTTCGGGCTCCACCTGGTCACCGGCTCCATGGCGGGCTCACCCCCCGCGGGACACCACCGCCGCCGCGCTCCGCCGGACGCCAACCCGGCCCCCCTCAGGCTCCCGGCCCGGCAGCGCCGCTCCCGGCCGCCCCCTCCCCTCCCCGGCCCGGCTCCGCCCGCCGGCCGCGGCCTGTCCCGCCCCGCTGCCGCTCCGCCCACAGGTGCTGCCGGGCCCCGCCGCCGCGGGCCGGGCCGGGCCCCGCCGGGCCGCACCGGGCCCGGGCGCAGGGCTGGGGATGGGGAAAGCGCTGAGGAGAAACTTCGTGAGGTCCCTACGGCTTCTCCTGGGAAAGGGGCAGGGGAGGAAAAGCCGTCTGGAGCCACTGCTTTTAGACGCTTGTCACCTTCCAGACTCTGCCTTCCCCCCCCCCGCGACTGATAGCCTGGAAAGAAAATCCCCAAAACATTAAATAACCTGACACTTGGCCTAACACTTCGCATAACACTTTAATTTCATTACTGTCGATAAGCCACATCCAGCTTTGTCTTTGCTGGGTATAAATCTGCACATAAAGGACGTTCTGAAGCAGAGTGGTAGCCGAGACCACACTACAAGACCCCTCAAGTGTGTCACATCTGAAAGTCACTGCTCTTGGGACCATGTGGTGACACAAATCTCACTTTTCTTTAAAGCATGCTGCAGTTTTAGCTCTCTTGGGTGTGAAGGCCAGCCTGGAAAATTTAGAGAATCCAGGCAGAGAGAAAGTGACCAGAAACAGTAATTATTACTAGAAACAGGAATCTCTACTAGTCATATCACCCCTACTGTCATTTTAATATTGCTTAATTTGTACTCAGTGATTAATAGAGTATTTTTTTTTTTTTTAATAAGGATATTTTGGAGGCTCAGGATTTCCATGTACATGAGGGAGGGAAGGCCCACCGCTGCGGTGGCTGTGTCTAGCGATGCCGCGATGAGGAAAGGGAGGGAGCGGTGGATGTTCCCCCTCACCACGGGTTGCATGGGGGCGCCCTGGCAGGCAGAAAGGTGACGATTTGGGAGCCACCCGGCATCCTGCCCCAGGAGCGGCGACCTGCCCATGGGGTGGAGCGGCGGCTGGGCTCTTCACCCTGCCTCAGTGGCAGCTCTGCGTGAGTCACGGCCCTGTGGCAATTTTAGCAGCAATTGCAGAGTGCCTTCAACCACGCTTGTCCCAATACTGGCATTTGGGTTTTTTATTTTGGAATCCTGCACTTAAAAGAGCCCTTGGATGTGGAGGCCATTTCACCATAATAGATTACTTCTGTTTTGCTGCTCTCACTCGGGAGGTACATTAAGCCATCTGCTGCACCTCAGGCTTGCTTTCCTCAGAGGAAATGTGCCACCTGTGTCCTGGCCACCTCCTGAAGCCCGTGTAAGCCCCTAGTGTCAGCTTCTACTCAGAAGTTTAAGTGATGATCTCCAAAACTGTGTGCCCAGCATACTAACCTCCACCATTCCTTGCTACCAAACACGTAACTCAGGCTACAACCACTTTTCCATTAAGGAAGCAGCAAGGACTTGTGGAGAAACCAGGTATTTCTATTGTGTCTGCCACTTATGGGATCTGGCTCAGCAGCAAATTCCATCCCAAAGCCCTTTTGTAACATGCATGAAGGTCTCGCTGCTCCTCTTCCTCAGAGAGAAAAAGCAGAGTGAACTCTGCTGTGACAATAAGACTGTGAAATTTTAACTTGGCAATATTAGAGAGTGTGTAAGAAGCTGGGATTTCAGACTGTCTGGTATCCCACTGTTTTTATCAGCTCCCATCTCTATCCATCTGTTATCCCTAGTCATGGATGTGAAATGAAGGCTCTTTTGGGGCAGGGGCTGTCAGTTCCGTGCATGGCTGTGCAGTGCCCAGCTCTCCCACTGAGGCACAAACAGCTCCCATCTCGCACACACTGCTGCAGACCCCTGCCACAGGGTCAAGAAGCCACACTTCACAAGTTCTAATTTTGGGAATTAGTAGTTTAAAAAATGGTCTTTTTGCATTATACCTAAAAACTAGCATTTTGTTCATTCTTTGGTGGTTGAAGGTATATTTTTAGTTCTTGAATATAAGGTCAACTCATTCTAGCTCATTTATTTATGTGCGTTGTAGTTTGTGAAATATTAAGCCTGTCAGTTAACCTCCTCTGTCTATTTAAAAGATTAAAATGCAGTTCATCACAGCTTTAATGCTGGTGCAACAACCAAAAATTTCCTGATTCCCTATAGAATAGTGTGTTATTCATGCTTAAAGAACAACAAAGCAGCAACTTTCCCCCTCACAGAGGCCTGAGTAAACAGATGGGCCTTGTTATGTGCCCTGCTAATGGTTTCACAAGGGTTAATGTAACAGTGCTTCTGTCTTAACTACACAGATGCTTCCCAAGGTTGCAGGCAGGAAAGCAAATGTCTCTCACTGCTGGTGTTTGTAGCATTCATCTGCCGTCATCCTTCTCTGTCACATGTCTTGGGCCAGTCCCTGTGTCTGGTTTGGATGAGATGAGCGCCATATTTTGTGAGCAAGGCATGCAGATCTGGTCACTTGCTAGCAGATTGCCCATCTGATAAATCCACACTATTCATTGATACTATTTTTTGTAATTTACAAAATGATTTTTTTTTTTTTTTTCTGCTCAGGATGATCCTGAAGTGACTCTATTCTTTTATTACATGATAGCACCCAACACCAGCTGCTTTACAGTCTGCTCTGGACAAGTGAAATGGGGCTGTCAGGGGAAGGCAGCATGTCTCCAGATTCTCAAAAGGATTCATTGCTATGTTGCTTACCTGTGCTACTCTTTCCAAGCCCAGATAGAAACTGTTCTTTTGAGTTGATTTTTCTCATGATTGCATCATCTCAATCTTGTCTTTATTTAGGATGAGATTAACTAGTAGTCAATTGGCATGATGCAATTAGAAGTTCTGATTGTAGAGTGAGGTATTCTAGTTCAAAAAAATACTCACTGTCAAAAGAAATTAAAAAAACCCCAAACAAACAAACAAACAAAAACAACAACTTTGCCTGATTTCCAGGAATGCCAAATCAAAAAATAACACTGCCCCTTTGCATGCCTTCCGATGCTCTGTGGGTAAGTTTATGAGTTTTGTTCCAGTATGGAGTATTAGGAAATATGTCAGCTCCCTTTCCCTGCTTGCCACCTTGTGCGGAGATCGTTGCTGTGGCAAGGACCAGATTACCATCTCTCCAGAAGTACGCATTTTTGCATTTGTTATAATTTTCCAGCAATAAAAGTGATTTGATTTGATAAGAAGATTCAGACCAATTGTTTGCTGATTCCCTGCTTTCTTTGTTTTCTTTCTTTTCATTTCCCCTTACAGACCGGGCTTTCAAAGGGATATCAGATTGGTTTGCACAGGCAGTCTGGCAACACACAGCTCAACATGAACCAGGATCATGGTTCCACGGTCATGCACACAGCACCATGCGCTCTCCTATCACCCCACAGCAAAGACTTACAAAACAGTCACAAACCCACAGCTGTGCCCCTGTCAAGTTGGCAGGGAAAGCTACACAGTGTTTGTCACCTTCAGGTTTCCATCCTGGCGGCTGGTCAGCAAAAGGAGGACAGGTGATTCTTTGTAACAGGAAGTCTGATGGAATAAATTACCCTTTCCAGAAAAAAAAAAAAAAAATGTGCTAGCATCATTTCAGCAGCTGTATTAACTGTAGTCTGGTTTAAAACTGGATTTACCATTTTATCTAAACACAATCTGATTGACTCTGCCTCTTAGGCCATAGTTTTCAATATCAAATCTGTGCGCTCCCAGATCACCAGCTTGGATCTGAGCCATGGGTGGTAGGTAGATGATCACATTTCTGACAAAGTAGCTTAAGTGTTCAACGAGGATTGTATTCAAATTTCAAGATGGCATCAGGGGGACGGGCAATGGTTCATCTAGCACAAAAACCTGCTGGTACAGAGAGAGCACGCCAAAATTCATTGAACAGTTTAGAGTTCAGTGAGTTTGGACCAGATTATCACTTTGCATTGCGTGGCTGCTTGTGTCCCCTGGCCGCTGCACTGCAGTCTGCCCGTTACCAGACTTACTACCAGCTACCAGAGCTACGCAGCAGGTCCCCGGGCACAGTGCAGATTCGCAGAGGCAGCAGCAGCTCTGCACATCTGCAGAGCTCCCTGCCTGCAGGGATGCAGGCTTGAGTCTTAAACCCCTTTTCTCTAAGAGAGGTAACTGCTGTTACTCATCTCTAGAGGGATAAATAAACAAATATTTAGCCAAAGGTCACATACCAAATTTAAAAAGTATGTTTTCTGTTCAGGGCCACAAAAAGTTATTTTTCTGACTGATTCAAACTTTTTAGAGGGGTCAGCATGTTGCCAGTTGTATCTTTGAGTGAAAGGGATGTTTATTCTGTTTGGCAAAGTGTTGTCTCAGAAAGTTTTACTGTATTTCAGTGCGTCAGTCATGAAAAGCTTATAGATTTATTTATTTAATATTCACAGTTGAAAGCCTTGAAAATTTAAAGTATCAGGAACAAAAGCCAGTATATGGGTAGAAAATCCACTGTTTGCCTTAATTGACAATCCACAGATGAACATGAGGCAATAGTGATTCTTTGACCTTTTGTCATTCATAATGCTTCAGTGTCCATCGCTACTACTGTCACTACAAAAAAATTACAATTTACGTATGATTTCCCAAACACTACCTTAATCACACACAAATCTGCAGAAGTCAATAGATTTTTTGCAAAATAGCAAGAGAATTTTACCCTACCAGACTAGAATTGAGAGCTTCCCGGTAAGGTCAGTGAGTATTTAAGGTTCATTTGGAAATTGCAACAGGTAAATTAACTGAGTCAGAGTGAGTCAGGTTCAGAACTGGGTTTGGTTCTATAAGCATGTAATTAAAAAAATTCACATTAATGGGAAACTGTTGTTGCACAAGAACAAACATCCTACTTCTCACCTTGATACTGGAATTGTTAGCGATGGATCTCTTCTATACATGACAAGTGTGGGAGATCTCGGCACAGCCTGATGAGAAAAATAGGTCTGCCTAGTCCTTTTTTGAATACAGTGTATTCAAAGAGAGGCTTTTTCAGCTGGATGGGGTAAGGAGGATAGCCGGGGGG